TTAGGATTGTCTTGGGTATGTGGGCTCTTTTTTGGTTCCATATGAAGTTTAAAGTAGTTTTTTTCCAATTTTGTGAGAAAGTCACTGGTAACTTGATTTGGATGGCATTGAATTTATAAATAGCCTTGGGCAGTATGGCCATTTTCACGATATTGATTCTTCCTATCCATGAACATGGAATGTTCTTCCATTTGTTTGTGTCCTCTTTTATTTCGTTGAGCAGTGGTTTGTAGTTCTCCTTGAAGACGTCCTTCACATCCCTTGTAAGCTGGATTCCTAGGTATTTTATTCTCTTAGTAGCAATTGTGAATGGGATTTCACTCATGATTTGGCTCTCTGTTTGTCTGTTATTAGTGTGTAGGAATGCTTGTGATTTTTGCACATTGATTTTGTATCCTGAGACTTTGCTGAAGTTGCTTATCAGCTTAAAAGGATTTGGGACTGAGATGATGGGGTTTTCTAAATATACAATCAAGTCATCTGCAAACAGGGACAATTTGACTTCCTCTTTTCCTAATTGAATACTCTTTATTTCTTTTTCTTGCCTGATTGCCCTGGCTAGAATTTCCAATACTATGTTGAATAAGAGTCATGAGAGAGGGCATCCTTGTCTTGTCCTGGTTTTCAAAAAGAATACTTGCACTTTTTGCCCATTCAGTATGATTTTGGCTGTGGGTTTGTCATAAATAGCTCTTACTATTTTGAGATACGTTTCATCAATACCTAGTTTGTTGAGAGTTTTTAACAGGAAGGGCTGTTGAATTTTGTCAAAGGCCTTTTCTGCATCTATTGAGATAATCATAGTTTTTTTTGTCACTGGTTCTGTTTATGTGATTGATTATGTTCATTATTTTGTGTATGTTGAACCAGCCTTGCATTACTGGGATGAGGCCAACTTGATCGTGGTGGATAAGCTTTTTGAAGTGCTGCTGGGTTTGGTTTGCCAGTATTTTATTGAGGATTTTTGCATCAATGTTCATCAGGAGTATTGGTTGAAAATTCTCCTTTTTTCTTGTGTGTCCACCAGGCTTTGGTATCAGGATGATGCAGGCCTCATAAAATCAGTTAGGGAGGATTCCCTCTTTTCCTATTGATTGGAATAGTTTCAGAAAGAATAGTACCAGCTACTCTTTCTACCTCTGGTAAAATTCAGCTGTGAATCCATCTGGTCCTGGGCCTTTTTTGGTTAGTAGGCTATTAATTATTGCCTTAATTTCAGAGCCTGTTATTGGTCTATTCAGAGATCCAACTTGTTCCTGGTTTAGTCTTGGGAGGGTGTATGTGTCCAGGAATTTATCTATTTATTCTAGATTTTCTAGTTTATTTGTATAGAGGTGTTTGTAGTATTCTCTGATGGTAGCTTGTATTTCTGTGAGAGTGGTGGTGATATCCCCCTTATCATTTTTTATTGCCTCTATTTGATTCTTCCGTCTTTTCTTCTTTATTAGTCTGGCTAGCAGTCTATCAATTTTGTTGATATTTTCAAAAAACCAGCTCCTGGATTCACTGATTTTTTGAAGGGTTTTTTGTGTCTCTATCTCCTTCAGTTCTCCTCTGATCTTAGTTATTTCTTGCCTTCTGCTAACTTTTGAATGTGTTTGCTTTTGCTTCTCTAGTTCTTTGAATTATGATGTTAGGGTGTCGATTTTAGATCTTTCCTGTTTTCTCTTGTGGTCATTTAGTGCTTTAAATTTCCCTCTACACACTGCTTTAAATGTGTCCCAGAGATTCTGGTACATTGTGTCTTTGTTCTCATTGTTTTCAAGAACATCTTTATTTCTGCCTCCGTTTCGTTATTTACTCAGTAGTCATTCAGGAGCAGGTTGCTCAGTTTACATATAATTGTGTGGTTTTGAGTGAGTTTCTTAATCCTGAGTTCTAACTTGACTGCACTGTTGTCTGAGAGACAGTTTTTTGTGATTTCTGTTCCTTTACATTTGCTGAGCAGTGCTTTACTTCCCATTATGTGGCCAATTTTAGAATAAGTGTGATGTGATGCTGAGAAGAATGTATATTCTGTTGACTTGGGGTGTAGAGTTCTGCAGATGTCTGTTCGGTGCACTGGGTGCAGAGCTGAGTGGACATGAGCAATTTATCAAAAAAGAAACACAGCTATCAAAAATACAGAAATATTCAACCTTGTTAATAATAAAGTGGCCGGCCTCAGTGTTTCATTCCTGTAATCCCAGTCATTCGCAAGGGTGAGACAAGAGGATCACTTGAGGCCACAAGTTCAAGACCATCCTAGGCAAGTCAGTTTGAGACCAGGCTTCATCTCTACCAAACATCAAAAAATTAGCCATGCAAGGTGGTGCATGCCTGTAGTCCCAGCTCCTCAGGAGGCTGAGGCAGGAGGATTGTTTGAGCCTGGGAGGTTGAGGTGGCAGTGAGCCATGATTGTGCCATTGCACTCCAGCCTGGGCAATGCAGCAGGACTCTGTCTAAACAATAAAAATAATGATAAAGAAAAGAATTGGGAAGCCATTTCTTGCTTATTCAATACATAATGTTAAAAGCAATTTCTACTTTTTCTACTTTTTTATTACTAAAAAAGGCTGGACCATTCTCATAGCCTGAAATGTTTCTTACCCTCCCTTCTTCTGTCCAAACACTTCTCTGTCGATGATAATGCAAACCGTCATTCCTTTAGGAAGACTTCACCCCAGGTAGTTCCAGATCCCCTTATCTCTGCCTTCCCAGAACTCCTGGTGTCTCTCCAGTTTCCTCCGGGTGGTGAAGTACCCCCATCCTGGGTCTTGGCATGACTGCCTCTGTGAAGGTCTTGTTTCATTTTCCCTTATGGTTCTGTTCCCCTGTGTTGTGTCATAGCACTGGGCAGAGTGGACAGCCCATTCACACTGATAGAGAGGGCCCATGGTTCTGGAGATAACCATGTAACCGATCAGAATAGGGCATTGAGGGCTGGGTGTCAGGCATGGGCTGCACTTGGGTGGGCAGGCCCCCTGGAAAGTCACTGGACTTGGCAAGCTTCCTAGTAACATGTCTCCCTGGGGTCCTCTTGGAACTTCATGCAAAAATGCTGGATGCTGGTTTATTCTGGAGAGTTGCTTCATTCTTCTCATTTGATAGTCAAAGAAACTCATGTCCCAACTAAAGGTCATAAACTCCAGTTTGCAAACTGAGATAATCTCAGCTGAATGAACTTGCTGACCCTCTGCTTTCCTGCAGCCTCTCAGTGCCCTTGAAATCATGTCAGTTCAAGCAGCCCCATGAGGCATTACAATGTTTAATTACTTCAGTGATTATTAAACCTTGCCCTGTGTTGACCCCAGGTGAATCACAAGCTGAACTTCTGACAAGGACAAGCTATGATATTCTTTTCAATTACAGAAAAAGTAAGTTAATTGATAGGATTTTTTTTGTTTAAAAAAAGTCACTAGTTTTAAAGGTAATTTGTGCACATGGTAAACATTAAGAAGGTATACCAGGATAATGCTTTTATACTACTAAGAATAATGTTTTATCTAACTTTTTTTGGTAGATGCTTTCATCAGATTAAGAAAATTCCCTGCTATTAGTTGTTGAAGGTTTTTTATATCATAAATGGGAGTTGAATATTATCATATATTATTAATATATTATTACTGAACTATCAAAGGCTCTTCCTAAAACAATCGAGATGATCTTATAATCGTTCTCCTTTAATCTGTTGATGAAATCATTGGTATTTATACTTTGTTAACTATTCTTGAGCCTCAGGTTTAAATTCAACTTGGTCATGGTGTATCATCTTTGAACACTGCTGTCTCTGGCTTGGTACTATTTTGTTCAGGATTTTTGCGCTGATGCTCATGAATGAGACTGGCATGCCATCTTCCTTTGTGGTCCTGATTTTTTTCTGATTTGGATCATGTGGCCCTCATGGAATGAGTTGGGCATGATGCCTTCTTTTTCATGTCTCTAGATAGATGGGATACTTTGGAGTCTCTCCAGATGGCCCTCAGTGGTCCCTGCCTCCTCGTTGTTAGGCCCCTGGGCACCCCCTTCTCATTTCTGGTAGGCCCAGGAACCTGGGGGTTTTATGTTTGTTTGTTTGTTTGTTTGTTTGTTTGTTTGTTTTTGAGTTGGAGTCTTGCTCTGTCACCCAGGCTGGAGTTGGGGTGCCAAGGCCTGATCTCGGCCTGGGTGTGGCAGTGAGGTGAACACAAAGGGATGTTCTTCAGAGATTACAGTTCAGCCTTGGAGTAAAACTAGGAGACTGTTTCAGCAAGTGAGGATAGGGCTGTGTGGGGTTCTATCCTCTTTATAATTTCCACTAGCACTGAAATCATGGTAACATCCAACCAGAACCTTCTTTTGTCGTATTTGGGATAGAAGGGACTAGTTGTCCTCAAATTATTGATAGAGATTTTATATAATATAGTGTTTCTCTCCATATTTTATGAATATAACAAAAGTCTTGTGTGTGTATATGTGTACGTATACATTTGTATTGTATATATGTGTGTATATATATACGTGTGTGTATATATGTATATATATTCATGTGTACATATATACACACACACACATACAATACAAATCCTGCTTAGTAGCTGTTTTTGTTTGTATATGTAACAAAAAGAATTACAAAGCAGGACTCTGACCAATAGTCCTTGTGTGGCACAGAGAATTTGCTTTTAATATCTCTTTTCACTTTCTTTGTTACAGACACGTGATCTCTTTTTTGAAAGGTGACAATCACTTTGCCATATTTTATCTGATGCTAATGCTCATAGCCTATTAGTCACGTTTGTTTCCATGAGAAAGAAAAACCACTACACGGTTATGCTAAGGATTTCTGCCCCTGGAGTGAGAACCGTCCCGAATGTCTCCCACTTTCATAACTCCTCCACACATCTCAGTGGGCCGTTGAGCACATCAATGGGCATGACAGTTATTAAAACAATTTATGAATGTTATGATCCTTTACCAGTATGAGTTATTCTCTGGAGCTTCTAACATGTCAATAGTACTGCATGGACTGAGTTAAAAGTTAATCCAAAATCACAGTTTATCCAAATCTGTTTCTTTCTTACCAGGCACCACCCACCTATGATATTGTGCTACAGATGGAGTATCTCGACATGGTGGTGAAGGAAACGCTCAGATTATTCCCAGTTGCTATGAGACTTGAGAGGGTCTGCAAAAAAGATGTTGAAATCAATGGGATGTTCATTCCCAAAGGGGTGGTGGTGATGATTCCAACCTATGTTCTTCATCGTGACCCAAAGCACTGGACAGAGCCTGAGAAGTTCCTCCCTGAAAGGTACAAGGCCACTGGGAAAGCAGTCCTCCCTGAACCAGCCTGGTTCAAGAATATTCTGCCTCTCTTAATCTACAGGACAGTCGTGGTCTTGTACAATCATTTGCTTGTCTTTTTATTTTTAAAAGTTTTTTTTCATGAAATTGATCATTGTCACACTTTACAAACCATAGACTAGATAAAAGAAAACTACAGCCACCCACAGTCCCAAAAAGTTAAAATGAAGGTCATCAGTTATGTCCTTATGGGTCATAAGTGTTCAAAATACAAGGACTCTTTTAAAAACACATGATCACAATGCTATTATTATGTCCCAGAAATGAATATTTTTTTCTTAATATAATCAAATATTTAGGAGTCAAGTTTGAATAAAAAACATGGGTCTAATCTTCAAAGAATTTATAGTTTAGTGGAACAGATAGACAAAGCAGTGATGATACTGCTTTGCACTGGTACAGTAGCATCATACACCCGTGTAAATTATCTGACTTTAACTATTCTATGGAGGTGTGGGGGAGAAAGAGGGAGAGATGGAGAGAAGAAGAAGGAGCAGAAGGAGGAGAGAAGGAGGGATAAGACAAGGTAGGGAGGAGAAGGAGGAGAATTAGAAAAACAAGAGAGGAGATGAGAAGGAAAGTGCAAAATAACAATTTTGAAATAGTGCAAGGCAATTTCTTCTTCTCCTTCCTCATGACCAACATAAGTGTGACTTGAGGCAGGAATCTACTTTTCCATCAGTCTCATCACTTATGTGCCTTTATAGTGTGAACACATAACCACCCTGAATATAATCTGAGTGTTTAGAAATACATATTCTTTGCAACACTATTTATCTCCTCTCAACAAGACTGAAACTTCCTATAATGTAATGAGAGTAGAAAGGATCTGTAGCTTACAATTCTCGTAGTAAAATAAGCATGGCAAGATTTCAATGACCAGTTCACAAAAGTATCCTGTGTACTACTAGTAGAGGGGTGGGCCCTAAATAAGAAATCCTAACATGTAACTCTTAGGGGTATTATGCCATTAACTTTTAAAAAATCTACCAATATGGAACCAGGTTCAGTAAGAAGAACAAGGACAACATAGATCCTTACATATACACACCCTTTGGAAGTGGACCCAGAAACTGCATTGGCATGAGGTTTGCTCTCCTGAACATGAAACTTGCTCTAACCAGAGTCCTTCAGAACTTCTCCTTCAAACCTTGTAAAGAAACACAGGTCAGACAATTTTCTGCATAAATAATGTTTTCTTAAGAATTATTTTAACTGAAGGTCTGTATATTTAAAAAAGAACACACCCATTTACTCTACTACTAATTTGTTCTATGAGCCAAGGAATCTATTTGGGCCCATCTGTGATCTTTAAGGGTGCTTCAGTTCTGGCATTAAAAAGCTGTAGCATTAAAAACATCACATAACATCAATGTAGATTAGCATGGCATGACTATCTGCAGTCTCCTTGAATTTGAGCAAGGTTTAAATTCAGTTTCAAGTCAATTAGAAAGATGGGGAAGTATTTTGCACAATCATGAAGTGCAACTACTATCTTGTTTTGACTTTTGAATGGTGCTATTCCTTCCCAGAACTTGTAGAAGCTTTCTCATGACAGTGGCTCCCAACCACTAGCTGTACATTGGAATCACCAGTGAGCTTTAAAAATTCATGATGCCTGCGACATCTCAGAAATTCTAAACTAATTTGCCAGAGTGTGGCTTTAAAAGCTCCCTTCCCCCCCTGCAGTTGCTTCTCATGTGAAGCCAAGGTGGAAAATGACTAAGGTATTTCTACTGGATATGAAGGACTACCACAGTCCAAGGCCATCCTTACTGACTTTACCTTCCAGTTGCCTAGGTCTATCCAACTGGGCTCCTTTTCAACCCAATTATAACTCTATTAATCTTCTTCCCTTTCTTCTCCTCATTCTGTTCTTATCTTTCAAGATCTAGTTCAATTCTCAAGCTCTCCAAGGTGTCTTCTCGACCTAGTCCAGGGCTGATTTACTCCTCTGCTCTGTTATTGGTTACTGGAGACTATTATCATATAATATCATAATTTGCCATTAAATCACTGAGTTTTGTTCTCTGTATTTTCTCTGTGTCTAAGAATGTCTTCCCCTTATCCATTAACAATATCCTGTCATTTTGTTCCTTTTAAAATATCCCAGTGGTGTCTTGCAAGCGACCTAATCTAATTCAAGCATTTGGTCATTTGGTAAATGTTTAAGGAGTGATGTGCAGTTGATTGGCTTGCATACAAATATTAAGTTTTTTAATGTGAACATTTAACAAATGACATTCATGTATTTACATGTGTGTTTGTGCTTGCACATGTGCACGTGCCTGTCTATCTGCAGGGAAAATATATACATGCCTTTTGAAAAGTTTTAAATAATAAGATATTATATTTATTAAAAGATTTGGAATCTTTTCTCTGAAGAAATTAAAGAACAGACGTCATTTATTCATATTAAGCAAGACCCTATAAATCTTATTTCTAGGTCTCATGTATTTATTAAGCAATTCCACCCCTTAAGCAGGCTTTCTACATAGGAAAGGAAAAAGATAGAGATGATTTCCATATTATTTCCATATTCCACGTTATTTGTGGCTTTAGGCCAGCTATGTAGCCATCCTGCATGTGTGCTCAGACAGGGGTCGCAGCCCTGAGGGAAAGTAGTCCTCTGGCACACCTGGGATGGGAAAGGTACTCACTTGTAAGTTCCAAGCTGGCACTTCTTGATCTCCATGGCAATTTTCTTGGCCATCACTCCATGGAGATCAGAATATCACTCTATTGTGTTCCCTCAACACTGAAGCAGTGTCTGTCTCCATAAGAATGGGGTTAAAAGTTTAGTCAAAACACTGTAGGAATTGAGAGGTTCCCCACTTGCACTACCCTTGGAAACCAAGAGAAAATGTTAAAAAATAAAACAATGATGCTTCCTGAAGGCGTCTTCCCATCTTTACACTAGATGGGTTCAATTGGGAGGAATTACTGGACTCTGGAAGTTGAAGACTGTCCATATAGTTAAAATGTACAACAACTACTCAGGATTACCTTGCAAGTTTCAACATACACAAAATTAACTTTATATGACTCTTCAAAAACAGTTTGCCATCATGCCTAATAATCTGGTTTAAATTTTTAAAACTCATCGATTTTACTTAAAATTTAAATCAAAACGAACATGGATTCCCATGAATTTGTCTGAGGTCAGGCGTTGCACAGAATAGGTGCTCCATAAATATTTTGTTAAATGATAGATGATGAATGCTCTCACTATACAATCTTCACACATCTTATAGAGTAAGTATAAAGAATCCAAGATTTATAATACTGGAAGTAGTTTTTATATGTTTACAAAGCATTATTGTCATTAATGCATTTTTTTTTACTTTGATGCTATACTTTCTACTTTTGCTTTATTTAATGCTACTCAATATGCTTATTTAACTGTTGTAGATCCCCCTGAAATTACACTTTGGAGGAATTCTTCAACCAGAAAAACCCATTGTTCTAATGGCTAAGTCAAGGGATGGGACCGTAAGTGGAGCCTGATTTCCCTAAGGACTTCTGCTTTGCTCTTCAAGAAAGCTGTGCCCCAGAACCCCAGAGACCTCAAATTACTTTGTGAATAGAACCCTGAAATGAAGATGGGCTTTGTCCAATGTACTGCATAAATAACTGGGGATTCTTTACATGTGTTGAGCTCTCTCACGGTCTATATAGAGTGTTAAACTCGGTAATATAAAGGAGATGACTAAATCAGTGCTGGGTAAGTAGATTTGGCTTCTCTGCTTCTCATAGGACTATCTCCACCACCCCCAGTTAGCACCATTAACTCCTCCTGAGCTCTGATAACAGAAAACATTTCTTAAAAACCACATCCACAATCATTAATGAAAATAAGAATTATTTTGATGACTCTAACAGTGACATTTGTATCACATGTTATATCTGGAGTATTCTATACTAAGTTTTATATTAAGAAAATCGATAAAAATCTCTTTACAAAAGTATTATCAGATAATCTTCCACACATTAATGAGAAATCTATAGAACTGAATGACTGAGAACCAACAAGTAAATATTTTGATCATTGTAATCACTGTTGATGTGGGGCCTTTGTCAGAACTCCAATTTGATTATTAACATAGGTGAGAGTTAATCCACTATGACTTTACCCATTGTTTAGAAAGAATATTCATAGTTTAATTATGACATTTTTGACCAAGCACAGTGGCTAACACCTGTAATCCCTGCACTTTGGGAGGTCAAGGTGGGTAGATCACCTGAGGCCAGGAGTTCAACACCAGCCTGACCAACATGGTGAAGCCCCATTTTTACTAAAAATATAAAAATTAGCTAGGCGTGGGTGGCATGTGCCTGTAATCTCAGCTACCCAGGAAGCTGAGGCAGGGGAATTGCAGGAAGCTGAGGCAGGGGAATTGCTTGAACCTGCAGTGAGCCAAGATTACAGCACCGCACTCCAGCCAGGGCAACAGAATGAGACTGCATCTCAAAAAAAAAATTATGCCTTTTTGTAGCACATATATTTAAATGAACTAAATATCTAGGAATTAGCTTAATCAAAGAAGAGGGTGATTGATGTCTACAATGAATACTGTAAAACACTGATGAAGGAAAATGAAGAAGACACAAAAACAGAAGGACATTCCATGTCTACATATTGTAAGAATCGATATAGTTAAAACTGTCCACACTACTCAAAGCAATGTACAGATTCAATGCAATCTCTCAAAATACCAATGACTTTCTTCAAAGACATAGAAGAAAAAAATCCTAAAATTTCTATAGAACCATAAAAGACTCAGAACAGCTAAAACTGTCTTCAGCAAAAAGAACAAAACTGGAGAAATCATATTACCTGACTTCAAATTATACTACAGAGGTATAGTAACCAAAACAGCATGGAACTTGTATAAAAACAGACACATTGACCAATGAAATAGAATAGACCACCCAGAAACAAATCCACACACCTATAGTGAACTCATTTTCAATATTGTTGTCAAGAACGTACACTGGGGAAAAGATAGTCTCTTTTGGAGCTGGGAAAGCTGGATATCAATATGCAGAAGAATGAAACTAGATCCCTATATCTCACCAGACACAAAAATCAAATCAAGGTGGATTAAAGACTGAAATCTGGCTGAGCACGGTGGCTCATGCCTGTAATCCCAGCACTTTGAGTGGCAGAGGCGGGCAGATCACTTGAGGTCAGGAGTTCAAGACCAGCCTGACCAAAAAGGAGAAACCCCATCTCTATCAAAAAATACAAAAGTTAGCTGGGCATGGTGGGGCATGCCTCTAGTTCCAGTTACTCAGGAGGCTAAGGTGGGAGAATCACTTGGACCCAGGAGGCAGAGGTTGCAGTGAGCCAAGGTCATGCCAATGCACCCCAGCCTGGGCAAGAGAGTGAGACTCTGTCACAAAAAAATCAAAAGGGGGGGGATCAGTTCCAAGATGGCCGAATAGGAAGAGCTCCAGGCTACAGCTCCCAGAGTGAGTGACACAGAAGATGGGTGATTTCTGCATTTCCAACTGAGGTACCGGGTTCATCCACTGGGGCATGTCAGACAGTGGGTGCAGGACAGTGGGTGCAGCCCACCGAGCCAGAGCCAAAGCAGGGCAGGGCATCGCCTCAGCCAGGAAGTGCAAGGAGTAAGGGAATTCCCTTTCATAGCCAAGGGAAACCGTGACACACAGCACCTGGAAAATTGGGTCCCTCCCACCCTAATACTGTGCTTTTCCAGGGGTCTTAGCAAACAGCACACCAGGAGATTATATCCTGTGCCTGACTCAGAGGGCTCTACATCCACGGAGCCTCCCTCATTGCTAGTGTGTCTGGAATTGGTGAGTTCCTCGAGGGCCTTACGGACTTCAAGAATGAAGCCGCGGACCCTCAGGGTGAGTGTTACAGTTCTTAAAGATGGTGTGTCCGGAGTTCGTTCCTTCAGACATTCAGATGCTTCTGGAGGTTCTTCCTTCTGGTAGGTTCATAGTCTCGCTGTCAGGAGTGAAGCTGCAGACCTTTGCGGTGAGTGTTACAGCTCATAAAGGCAGTGTGGACCCAAAGAGTGAGCATCAGCAAGATTTATTGCAAAGAGCGAAAGAATAAAATTCCCACGGTGTGGAAGGGGACCCTAGCGGGTTGCCTAGTTGGCTGGCTGGGGCAGCCTGCTTTTCTTCCCTTATCTGGTCCCACCTGCATCCTGCTGATTGGTCTGTTTTACAGAGAGTTGATTGGTCCATTTTGACAGAGTGCTGTTGGTGCCCTTACAATCCTTGAGCTAGACACAGAGTCACAGAGTGCTAGTTAGCTAGATACAGAGTTAGTTAGATACAAAGTACCAACTGGTGTATTTACAAACCTGGGGCTAGACACAGAGTACTGATTGGTATATTTACAAACCCTGAGCTAAACACAGAGTGCTGATTGGTGCCTTTACAATCCTTGAGCTAGACACAGAGTCATAGAGTGCTAGTCCTCCAAGTCCCCACTAGGTTAGTTAGATACATATTCACAAACCTTGAGCTAGACACAGAATACTGATTGGTGTATTTACAAACCCTGAGCTGGACACAGAGTGCTGATTGGTGCACATACGATCCTCTGGCTAGATAAAAAAGCTCTCCAAGTCCTCATCCAGTTCAGGAGCCCAACTGGCTTCACCCAGTGGATCCTGCACCAGGCCTGCAGGTGGAGCTGCCCACCAGTCCCTACAGCACCTGCACTCCTCAGCCTTTGGGTTGTCCATGGGACCAGGTGCCACGGAGCAGGGGGCAGTGCCCCTGGGGGAGGCTCAGGCTGCCCGGGAGCCCACCACAGGGTGGGAGCTCAGACATGGCGGGCTGCAGGTCCCGAGCCCTGCCCCGCCGGGAAGCAACTAAGCCCTGGCGAGAATTTGAGTGTGGTGCTGGCCTGCTGGCACTGCTGGGGGACATGGCACAACCCCCACAGCTGCTGGCCTGGGTGCTAAGCCCCTCACTGCCCTGGGCCTGCGGTGCCTGCCGTCCTCTCCGTGCGCTAGTCCAGCTGCACCTGCAGGGCCAGCCGCGCCCACGCCCACCTCCGGAAACTCACACCGGCCTGCCAGAGCAGCCTTGGTTCCCACTGGTGCCTCTCCCTCCACACCTCCACACAAGCAGCGGGAGGAGGCTGCGGCCTCAGCCAGCTCAGAGTGGGGCTCCCATGGTGCCGTGATGGGCTGAAGGGCTCCTCAAGTGTGACCAGAGTGGAAGGCGAGGCCACAGACGCTGAGAGTGAGGGCTGCTAGCATATTGTCACCTCTCACTAGCACAGCAGTCTGAGATCTAACTGCAAGGTGGCAGCAAGGCTGGGGGAGGGGCGTCTGCCATTGCTGAGGCTTGAGTAGGTAAACAAAGCCTCCAGGAAGCTCAAACTGGGTGGAGCCCACCGCAAATCAAGGAGGCCTGCCTGCCTCTGTAGACTCCACCTCTGGAGACAGGGCATAGCCAAAGAAAAGGCAGCAGAAACCTCTGCAGATTTAAATGTCCCTGTCTGACAGCTTTGAAGAGAGTAGTGGTTCTCCCAGCATGGAGTTTGAGTTCTGAGAACGGACAGACTGTCTCCTCAAGTGGGTCCCTGACCCCAAGTAGCCTAACTGGGAGGCATCCCCCAGTAGGGGCAGACTGACACCTCACACGGTGGGGTACTCCTCTGAGACAAAGCTTCCAGAGAACGATCAGACAGCAACATTTGCTGTTCAGCAATATTCACTCTTCTACAGCCTCCACTGCTGATACCCAGGCAAACAGGGTCTGGAGTGGATCTCCAGCAAACTCCAACAGACCTGCAGCTGAGTGTCCTGACTGTTAGAAGGAAAACTAACAAACAAAAAGTTCCTCCACATCAAAATCCCATCTGTACGTCACCATCATCAAAGACTAAAGGTAGATAAAACCACAAAGATGTAGAAAAAACAGAGCAGAAAAGCTGAAAATTCTAAAAATCAGAGCATCTCTCCCCCTCCAAAGGAATGCATCTCGTCACCAGCAACATAACAAAGCTGGATGGAGAATGACTTTGACGAGTTGAGAGAAGAAGGCTTCAGATAATCAGACTTCTCCGAGCTAAAGGAGGAAGTTCAAACCCATCACAAAGAAGCTAAAAACCTTGAAAAAAGATTAGACAAATGGCTAACTAGAATAACTTATGTAGAGAAGTCCTGAAATGACCGATAGAGGTGAAAACCATGGCACGAGAACTGTGTGGTGAATGCACAAGCTTCAGTAACAGATTTGATCAACTGGAAGAAAGGGTATCAGTGACTGAAGATCAAATGAATGAAACAAAGTGAGAAGAGAAGTTTAGAGAAAAAAGAGTAAAAAGAAATGAACAAACCCTCCAAGAAATATGGGACTATGTGAAAAGACCAAATCTATGTCTGATTGGTGTACCTGAAAGTGACAGGGAGAATGGAACCAAGTTGGAAGACACTCTGCAGGACATTATCCAGGAGAACTTCCCCAACCTAGAAAGGCAGGCCAATGTTCAAATTCAGGAAATACAGAGAATGTCACAAGATGCTCCTCGAGAAGAGTGACTCCAAGACACATAATTGTCAGATTCATCAAAGTTGAAATGAAGGAAAAAGTGTTAAGGGCAGCCAGAGAGAAAGGTCCGG